AGTGTGTTGTGCGTCATTTTTATGACGCGTGACACTCGGAGGGTTAAATAATCAAAATCAAAATGGAAAAACTTTTAAAACCAGACAGGTTTGATATTAATCCTGAAAATCCTTCTGCAAGTAGAGCATTCAAACACTGGTTCAGGACACTTGAAAATTTCATATCTGACTCAGCAGTTACTGAAGAGAGGAAACTTAACGTGTTGATTAATTTTCTTTCTTACAATGTCTACGAGTATATTTCTGAATGTTCCACGTTTAAGTCAGCAGTTGAAATTTTGCAAACTATTTATAATCCTAAGAAGAATGAAATTTATGCTCGACACATGCTAGCAAACCGCAAGCAGAAGAAAGAAGAAAACATAGACAAGTATCTACAAGAACTTAAACTTCTAAGTAAGGATTGCAATTTTCGTGCCATAGATGGAAATACTTATCGAGATGAAGCCGTTAGAGATGCCTTTATAAGTGGAATTATGAACCCCCATATTCGACAAAGACTACTAGAAAAATCGTCCTTGACATTAAAAGAAGCTGAGGACATTTCACGTTCACTTGAGTCTGCACAGAAGAGCTGTGAAGCATATGGATCTTCAAACCAAATTGAAGTCACATATTGCAACACTTCATCAACACTACCAGATCAACTGGATGAAAATATAGATCCTGAAGAGTCTCCTACTTCAGCTTCTGTAGCAAAAAACTTTAAACAGAAGTGTTTCTACTGCGGTGGCCGGCGTCATTTTACTCGAAACGACTGTCCTGCCAAAGATGCTACTTGCTCTGGTTGTAAGAAAAGGGGACATTTTGTGAAGGTATGCAGGTTGATGAAAACTCAAGGTAAGACCTTTAATGCCTCTTCTTTGGTAGTAACCACGCTTTCATGTGCAGCTGCCTCCAATGGACTGTCAAAAGCAGTTGTGCGGGGTTATGCAAATAAAATACCTGTTGAAATTTTGGTTGATACTGGAAGTACCGATAGTTTTATAAACCGAGCTGTGGTAATTGAAAATGGTTTTCATGTAATTCCAGAACGGAAACAGGTATCTATGGCTTCCACAAACCTAAAGTCACCCATCAAAGGTTATGTTAATGTGAACTTAGAGTTCTCTGACCATAACTATGAGAGAGTACAACTGTTTGTTATTGACAATCTGTGCACTGACATATTGGTTGGTCATGATATAATGAAACTGCATTCTTCAGTGAACCTAGATTTTGGAGGAGATAAGTTACCTCTGTCCATTTGTAATGTTGCCTGTGCTTCTGTGGAACCACCATGCCTTTTTCATAATCTATCACCTGACTGCAAGCCCATTGCAACTAAGTCTCGTAGGTATTCTAATGATGATGAAAAGTTCATCAACTCTGAAGTGCAAAAACTCCTTCAAAGTGGTATAATTGAAGAAAGTTCATCTCCCTGGCGTGCACAAGTGCTTGTTACCAAAAGCTCATCTCATAAAAAGCGATTAGTAATAGATTATAGTCAAACTATAAATAAGTTTACCCTATTAGATGCCTACCCCTTGCCTAATATTGAAAACATAGCTAGTAAAATAGCAGAAAATAAAGTATTCAGTACTATAGATTTAAAGGAGGCTTACCATCAAATACCAATATCGGAACATGAAAAATGCTTCACAGCATTTGAGGCAGCAGGAAAACTTGATCAGTTCTGTAGGGTTCCATTTGGTGTGACAAATGGTGTGTCTGCTTTTCAGCGCACGATTGATAAGATTATTTCTACTGAAGAACTAGAAGGGGTGTGGGCTTTCATTGATGACATAACCGTAGCCGGAAAAACTCAGTCAGAACATGATGAAAGGCTGAATAAATTCTTAAAGGTAGCTAAGAAATATAATATTACTCTAAACAATGAGAAGAGCAAATTTTCTCAAGACATAATATCAATCCTAGGATATCAAATTTGCTACCAGTCTATGCAAGCAGATCCAGAGCGTCTGAAACCCTTGTTAGATTTGCCATTGCCAGTTAATGCATCTCAATTAAAACGTGCATTAGGAATATTTTCTCACTACTCAAAGTGGGTTCCCAAGTTCTCAAACAAGATTCGGCCTCTGATTGATTGCAAATCTTTTCCTATATTGCCCTCATCTTTGCCAGCTTTGGCTTTTCAGGAAATTAAACAAGACATAGGAAAATCAATACTTACCGTGATTGATGATCTTTCTCCATTAGTCGTGGAAACAGATGCATCTGACTTTGCTATCGCTGCCACCTTAAGTCAAAAGGGTAGACCTGTCGCTTTCTTTTCAAAAACATTGACCGATTGTGAAAAACGTCATTCCTCTATTGAGAAGGAAGCCCTAGCCATAGTCGAATCTCTAAAGAAGTGGAGACATTTCCTCATAGGGCGACATTTTCTATTAATCACCGATCAACAGGCTTTGTCGTTTGTGTTCAACAGTCGGAATACTAGTAAAATAAAGAATGAGAAAATCACTAGATGGCGTCTTGAGTTGTCACCTTATTCTTTTGACATACAGTACAGACCAGGAAAAGAAAACGTCACCGCAGATGCATTTTCACGCGTTTGTGGAGCTGTCACAAACATAAATTGTGATGACAAGCTTTTTGCACTTCACCAGTCACTCTGCCACCCTGGTATCACTAGGATGTACCACTGGGTAAAAAGTAAAAACCTCCCTTACTCAGTTGAGGATGTTAAAACAATGACAAACAAATGCCCAATGTGTGCAGAGATTAAACCTCGTTTCTACAAAACTACAAATGCTCACCTTATCGAGGCCACAAAACCTTTTGAGCGACTAAATGTAGATTTTAAGGGTCCTTTGCCATCTTGCACACGTAATCGATATCTATTGACTATAATCGATGAATATTCACGCTTCCCTTTCGCATATCCCTGCAGTGATATGTCCTCAAGCACAGTAGTTCGCTGTTTAGAAAATCTATTTTCAATATTTGGAATGCCAAACTACATTCATTCAGACAGAGGGACATCTTTTCTTTCAAAAGAACTCAGAGACTACCTTCATGAAAGAGGAATAGCCACCAGTCAAACGACTCCATATAATCCGGCAGGGAATGGCCAAGTTGAAAAGTTCAATGGAACATTGTGGAAAGCAATCTTGTTAGCTCTGAAGTCCAGGTCACTAAAGGTAGAACAATGGGAAGTTGTACTCAATGATGCATTGCACTCCATAAGATCTCTTTTGTGCACTTCGACTAACAGTACGCCACATGAAAGGTTTTTCATTCACCCTCGGCGATCCCTCAATGGCACCTCACTGCCAGCTTGGCTCATGAAACCAGGACCGATATTCTTAAAAAGAAATGTTCAGCCATCAAAATTTGATCCTTTAGTTGAGGAAGTAGAGCTGATGGATGCTAACCCTCACTATGCCTTGGTTAAACACAATGATGGAAGAAAGTCAACTGTATCCCTCAAGCACCTTTCTCCAAGGGGGGATGTAAGTCTACTAGAAGACCAAGTCCTTCCAACGCTAAAAGAAAATCCTCAACTGGTGACAGATGAATCACAACCACATGTCATTCCAGAGCCGAGCATTAATCCAGATCCAAATGTCAATCCAGAACAGAATGTCACTCCATTTGATATCCAAGACCATGAGTATCAAGCAAATGATGATTATCAACCGAACTTCATTCCTGAACAAGACCAACCTCTAGAAAGGCCGAAAAGATCAAGAAAACCACCAAGTTACCTCGCTGATTACATTGTTTAAATTTTGATGGGGAGAATGTTATGAATTACTGTTTTTAGTAATCAGCTGAAGTATTTATTTACTTGTTGTTTGTATTAGAGATTTGTTTACCTTGACAACTATGTAACAATTTAAGTTTATTAAAGCCTTATTTTCTAAAAAGGTTCAGTTATTCACAACAATCTGCAATGCTAAAATGCTATGGGAAGAGACTGTAGACTGTAGGTTAAAATTATTATGAAGCACGAATCGTTACATAATTCGATACGTATTCAATCGTTTACAATAGAAATTTACAACTGAGTTGACAACAGCTGAGTTTTACTCCATAGAGGCTAAAAACGAATTTTATTCCCTAAAGAGTAAAAATGCTACTTTAGACCCGCAACGCATGCATCAATGACAACTGTTTTCACTGCAGTATGACAAAAACAATATAATATGAACCATTGATGACTCCGCTCAATTTTGTGGATGCTTCTGCGAACGCCACCTAGTTTACATTTCATTGCCAAAAGATATAACACATTTATTTATCGACAGCACCATCTATGGAATACTTATCCAGTTTTCAGGATACTGAGTAATAAAGATTGTGTCAATGTGTCAGTTAGGATTGGGTTGGGAAGGATAAAGCAGGATGCTCCTAACAACACTGAAAGTCACACCTTCCTCTTTTGTTTTTAGGGAGAGGTGGGAAATGTGTAGACAAGTAGTAAGCCTGTAGTGTAGTTTAGTGTAGTTCAAGATCCATGTAGACTAACTACAAAAGACCTCCTCTACTCTTTGGACACTAGTCAGGCAAAATACTTGTATCACTTCATCAGAACTAGCTCAAATTTGCTACTGCTCAAAGGGCTCATTCTCCGAGTCTAGCCACTCATTTCTTACATAACTTAGACTGCAATCCTATCTAGATCGTTCTTTTTGGCTTGGAAGATGTTGCGAACAAAAGTGATTGACCAGCGGTCCCAGTTGCCATCATGCTCTCGCAAGCTGATTTAACCGAGAGCATCCCAAGATGTTGGTGGCCTCCAGAAGGAACATATCCCAACGTGGGCAGTGGAAGAATCTGTGAAGAATGCTCGGAAAGTAAAAATAGTTGTACTGTTCGAACTTGGCTATCAAATGCAGGTACAACTGATAATAGCCGTGACCAGACAAGAATTGCGTGAGGTACCCTAGTAAGTCAACCTCACCCAGCCGTTTCATCAAAGGTTCAGTCTTTGTAAGTGTCGGAATATCAACTCTGATGTTATCAAATTTTTAATACATTTGTATTTTTTTCAGACACAGCAATGTCTCCTAGAAGTCTCACAGGGTGGGACCTCTGGGTGAAAACTTTTCAAAATTCTTTTCCTCGGAGAATGAAAATTTGTGCCTCCCATTTCTCAACGGTTCAGCTTCAGCTCCATGCCAAGAGGTTGGACAAACATAAAGTTCACTTCCAGTACCGCAACTCATCCAGCATTGTCGAGTCTCCTTTTCCTAAGGTTGACATCCCTAAAGTTTTGATCCCAGATTTGATTTGGGAAACTGTGGATCGATTTCCGGACGCTAATGCTGTTGTGAGTGTTTTATGATTGTATTTGATGACATGCATAAAAATTATTGTTAATTTATTTCTTTGTTGTTCATCAAGGGAACAGATATGGATACAAAATTAAATTCCCTAAGAAAAGAGTTACAGGCCGTTGAAAGTACAAAAAAAGTTCACAACACTATCAACTTAGTATTTCACCCCTACAAGGGGCTTTTTCAGGAGAAAGAGTTTATATCACTGTGGTGAGTTGGGGGTTCAGTCGGTAGCTCGACGGACTACACAATCTACTCATATTTGGGTTAAAATACGCACATAGTGGCGTCCCCATCTTAACTAATTGATAATTGAATTGATTGATTGCAACTGTTTCGTGGGTTCGACTCCTCGTGTACATGCCACTACATTTGAGTAGTACAGTTCAACTCTTGTACATTACCACCTCACCCTTTTGTAGCTCGATGTATTACACACTCAGGCTCAAGGTGTATGAGAGAAGCCAAATACAAGGTTAAAGAGGCCGACAACTTGCTCTTAAACAAAATTTGATTCCATATAACTGTTTTCAACTGAGTGAGTAAGGAAACGTTTTGTCGCTAGAAGGGGTTCTATATTGACTTGACATATAACCTTAAAAAAATTTAATACTTCATAATAATTTAAGACCTGATTTCAAAATTTGAAAAAAACCTTTAACTCATCCACAAACAGTCTCACAGTGATGAGGTTAATGTCATAATTGATTAATTAATAACCAAGTTCAATGAAAAGTGATGGACCCATATTCGTTCTTTATGAGACCCGATTTAAAAAAAAATTTTATGATTTGGCTTGCACAATTTAGAAAATCACTTATTGGATAATCAACAAGAAAGACATATTACTATTTTAATTATTTATGAATGTAGTATGGGTGAGAAGACTTTGCAGGTATTTTTGTTCTGTTTAAATTTATATCTGTATGGTACTGCCTCAGACCAGAATCAAACTATCAAAAAGCAATTGAGTTTTTTCAGAAGTAAAGCGCTGACCTTATGATCTTTAGTTAAGGAATTGATTAAGTTCATTTATTCTCACTGCCCATAATGTTGAATAATAATAAGACATGTAATCATAAGAATATTGCTTCACTTATAACTCAAGAGTGTTATAGAATTCATTGCTATTTAAGTTTTATCTGTTCCAGAAATGTGGAATAACTGGAAGAATCTATACTTATGGAAATGTGCAAAAGTTAAGTCGAAGATTTATGAACTCGTTGAAAAAAGCTGGGTTTTCCCATGGTGAAGTGATTGCTGTCGTTTTGCCAAATTGCCCAGAGTTTGCCATCGTTGCACTGGGAGCCCTGGAGGCAGATCTATCAGTGTCTTTCATAAACCATGTCTACACTGCAGGTCAGTATACAGATCATATTTAACTTTAAGATTCTGAATTTATTCGGAAAGAGTTGACAGAAAGTGATGTGGGAGGAATTTTGACAAATCGATTTGCTTTAGGCAATGATTACAAACCCTTTACAAAGAATGATTACAAAGAAGTCAAATGCTTATGGAGAATAGTTAGAATGGAATTTTGCCACCGAAATGAGCTTTCCACAGCTTCCGTCACGATGGCTAGCGTGACGGCCGCGATACTCTATCTCTCTCTCTCTCTCTAAGCCGATTCTTTGTCTCACTCTCTCTCACTCAGTCAGCTAACTTGGCTGCAGCTTGCGATAGTTTACCTAGTGGCTGCTGCGGGAACTATCAAAAATTCAAATATTTTCCTTGAAAAAAATTAATATCAGAGAGCAATACTACTTTGTGGATGGAAAAATAACATTTGCAATATATATTTGGATAGGTTTTAGGGGTACAGTAAAATTTATACTATCAATGAATGTATCAAAATAACTTAGACTAAAATAATTAGACAAATATAAGACTCATGGTTGAAGTTTGAACTGTGCTTCCGTCTTGAATCCCACACAAAGTCAATTTTTGTTTTACTTTCAACAGAAAATCCATCTGCTAACCCTATTGATGCCAAATAATGATTGAATAACAATAATTATTCTAACATTGGTCTCAAAATTCATGTTAAGATAAATCCCTTAGTTTAAAATATAAACAAGCCATGTAGAAACTTCTTAAATTTCCTTACCAAAGTATTTGTGATTCAATATCACATGATGTCATTTGAATATGCGTCATGATATGAGTCATTGCAGCTACAGCTGTTCATTGCTGTTTGTCGTTGCTTGTCACACTTCATAATTATTACAATATAACCTCTAGATTCTGGGCTATTTGTTATGGTAATGATTTTGAAGTGTTGAATTGATACAAAACACAAAACATTAGCAACAAAACGTTGCCATACTCACTCAGTTGAAAACAGTTAGACGGCATCAAATTTTGTTTAAGAGCAAGTTGTCGGCATCTTTAACCTTGTATTTGGCTTCTCTCATACGCCTCGGACCTGTGTGTGTAATCCGTTGGATACAATAATTGAGAGAAAAATAAGTTTTACCTTTGACAACTAATAGATATTCCATTCCCAAGTTGAAATGATAGCCATCTAAGAAAGTCAGTTTTAGAAAGGAAATGGATGTAATTGATTTGAGCCAGACAGAGTTATTTTTTCAGTTGATGTAAATTATTGATAACTTCTAAAAATGCAAACTTTTCCACTAGTACTTTGCAATTGTCATCACTTATCTCGTTGTCCAAGAAGTTAAGTTTCCAGTGTTGCCAAAAGCAGGCTAACAAATACGATAAATATAATAAATGATCTTACTTACCAAACAAAAATTATGTTTCAGATGAAATCTGCCATCAGCTGCAGAACTCTGGAAGTGTGTGTGTGGTGAGCGGTGTGGACCAACTGCCCGTAGTCCAAGCAGCAATTGCTAAACTGGAGGAGTCAACTCGGTCAAAAACTGTTCGGAAAGTAATCGCTGTTGATTTCCCATCCCCGGCTTCTATACCACAAGGGGTAGTCAGGTTAAGTGAGATGATCGCAGACCATGTTGATCATTCCAGACAAGGTTCTTTGCAGAAAGGCGTTCACGATGTAGCGTTCCTCCCATACTCCAGTGGGACCACCGGGCTGCCCAAAGGTGTTTGTCTTTCTCACAGCAATATTGTCAGCAATATTTTTCAATTCGGTGCAAACGGAGTAGAAATCAACTCTCCTGGTAAGTGGTGAGTTAAAAGGGATTTAGTTTAGATTTCAATAATACTATAATGATGTAAGAATGTTAATAAGATTTTGGAGTCATGTATGTGATACAAACATAGTTTGAGATACAATTTTCATTATTTTTTGATAACTTGAAGATTTTTGAGTGAAATTCAATACACAGTAAGAAGATTGAGATTCAAAATGGTAGACAACTTAAAAACTAGAGTTTATTTATAGCTTCTAAAACATATTCCTAACCATTATCTATGTAAAGTAGGAAGTAGGTAAACTGAATATTTCAAGAAAAGGTTAATATAATGTGCCATGAAAAGGGAATTTTGAAATGTGGTTAGTCGGTAGCTAGTCGGTAGTGCCGCAGACTTCAGACCCAAGGCAGTTATGTTGGGTTCAGATCCTTGTAACTGTCATTACTTTTTATTAGTACAGTTCACTCTTGTACTAGCTTTACTAGCTCTCCTCTTGCTTTGCTGGATACGTTCCACGCACAGACCCAAAGCCTATGCAAGGTTAAAGAGATATCCAACCTAAAAAAAAACCAAAAAACTGAAATTTTGCACCCTGACTCAAAATAGTACCATTGAGTATTGGATGCTGAAGTAGATATCCCACTTATGTGGACCAGCTGTCGCAAATTTTTTATTAAAAAAGAACATATAGTTGTTTGAGCCAGTCACAGAATGTAGTACCTAAAACTCTTTTTTCTACCTTATTTTTTTGTTTCTGACCAGGTTGATGGCTCATAACAATTGCTATAGCTCACCGTAAGTCATTCCCTAAGTTTTATTTGGTAAAAAAGTTTGTGTATTCAACAGAATTTAGTGATTTAGATCAGTGCAATCTGTTGATGGCTCACATCAACTACCTCAACAATTTCGATAACAAATCTGGCTACAAATTTAACATGGAAATGGAATGTCTAGTTGTATAAATAGTCAAAGATAGTACCTCTAAATTATTTATCATTAAAAATTATCTTCATAATCCTGACTAAAACAGCTTGGCACTGTAAAAAAATTTAAAGTTGAACTAAAACCTCAGTTTACTATTCAATCCTTTTACTCTGTTACAGACAAAGGACAGGATACTTTACTTGGGCTGTTACCGTTTTACCATATTTATGGTCTTGTAATTATTCTGCTCTGTGGTCTGCAAAGAGGGAGCCAAATAGTCACATTGCCAAAATTTGAGCAAAAAACTTTGCTGAGGGCATTTGAGAATGAAAAAGTAAGTTTATATTAGATTATGTTTGGTTTAGGTAATTGAATTAGCTAATATTCTTTATTGGCTTAAATCAGATCAATCCACATCTTTTGTAGCTACTATAGGTAGGGTAGTTTAGTGTTTTATAGGGAAATATAAACAAGTGTAAAGTGGCTTTCAATGAAATCAAATCATACAAATTTGATCAAAAGACAACCAACAAGTCAACAACCAAATTATAGCAGTTGACTTATCCTACTAATATTATAAATGAGAAAGTTTGGATGTATGGATGTATGGATGGATGTATGGATGTATGGATGTATGTTTGTGACAAGTGAACGCGAAAAATACTGGTCGGATTGGGCTGAAATTTGGCATGATGATAGCTCACATTCCCGATTAACATATAAGCATATTCTTATTTCAAAAATCCTTTCGGGCTCCGCCCCAGTGGCTCTGGAGTTTCCCATGTTAGCCTTATGAGAAATGGAATTATTGAATCTTAACAGCTGTTTCAACTAAACAAGTTGGTTCTGTTCTATGATGTTCAATAGCATTAAAGTTACAAGGATTACCAACAGGGTGCAGCACTATTATTTCTTTTACATTTATGACAACAGCTAATTTGCAACCAGAAGGTGAGTGAGCGTAGCGAACGAACTTCAACCTGGAGGCGAGTTAGCGTAGCGAACGAGCTAACCTGAAGGCAAGTGAGCGCAGCGAACGAGCTCCA